TTTGCTAAGGAAGTTATGAAAGTTTGTCAGGCACTCAGACGCTGCAGTAATGGGGGCTGAACACATTCCTAATTTAGACAGGTTTCAGAGTAACAGCCGTGTTAGTCTGTATTCGCAAAAAGAAAAGGAGTACTTGTGGCAGCTTAGAGACTAACCAATTTATTTGAGCATGAGCTTTGTATGCATCCGATGAAGTGAGCTGTAGCTCACGAAAGCTCATGCTCAAATAAATTGGTTAGTCTCTAAGGTGTCACAAGTACTCCTTTTCTTATTCCTAATTTAGTTCCTGTTTCTTTTGTGGCTGTAATAAGCACAGTAGAAATGTATTTTTTCCCTTTACTTCAGTCCCTTATTATTAAAGAAAATTTCCTGATCTAGAGCATATATCTGTCTTGGACAGTGGATGTAACTGAATTTTAGTCTCCTCTTTTTTTAATTTTAGGCTAATATTCTGCTTGCCCTTTACTATATTTTTCCCCAGCATATTAATTAGCAAGGCTGTCATCTTAAAATTGTACTTGCAAGTGGCTCACAGAGAGTTCAGTGAAGATCGTATCAGCATGACACTTGCTGCAGTTACACCTTGTAAAGTTTTACTCCCTCAGGCTATTTTAGCCAGCTTTTGACTCTTACAAATTGAACACATTTTGGGGTCATATACTCTCTGCAGTGTAATACTTTGCCATCTGATTTACATTATCTCAGAACAATGTCATTTCTTCACTCACGTGAGAGGTAGGTAGTCAAAAGCCAGCTTTGGCACTTATAATCAACCAAGAGACGTTAGTGAAGAGAAAAAATAACTTTTCAAATGTTTAGAAAATCTGCCTTTGAAATTATCTTATTTTTATTTGTACTTAGTTTCATGTCTCTGGATGCTGCCATCAGCAATTAAGGCTCAGAGTGTGTTCCTTTGTGAGCCTGACAAGTGAAAAAGTTGTCTGTCTTTTTATTTTTATTCCACCCACAGTCCTTCTCTATTTTGTCTCTATTTATAAATGATGCCTCTTTTGAAGGTTTTATAAAATTAGCTTGGATGCTGATTGACTTTCCCTTTGGTTTTGTGCCTTCTCTTAGGGCAATCAAAAGAATTTCTTTAATTTTAAATGGTTTTTAGAATAATTTCTGAATTCAGATGCTAAGATTCTCAGCCTCTCAGAAAAGTAGCATCTTTAGCAAGAAATAAGAGGATGTCTACAGAAGCTTTAAAAACATATATTAGAGGTGGGAAATGAAGTTTCTGAAATAAATATCCACATGAGTTTTGTTATATCCTCAACTGCATTTAGCTGATCAGATAAATGGTAGTCAGCACTGCTGTTATTCCATCTGTGTCTGGCTAGAGAATGAAACCTTTTTTCCCCTTTCCTTTGTCACCTTGAGCTTGAATACTGCAAGACTCTTTACTTGGACTGCACCTTAAAACCATTTGGGAAATTAGGCTCATCCAGCATCTGGGTGCACATCTGCTAAGTGGCGTTTCTCGATGGAGTTTCTCTATTAGGCAAGTGCTCTGTATTCTGCATTAGCTGTCTGTTGGTTTTAACTAGGGCTGTCAAGTGATTTAAAAAAATTAATCGTGATTAATCGCACTGTTAATAATAGCATACCATTTATTTAAATATTTTTGGATGTTTTATACATTTTCAAATATATTCATTTCAGTTGCAACACAGAATATGAAGTGTACGGTGCTCACTTTTAGGGGGCTTATTCCTTCACCCACTTACTTCCCTGGTCCTTCTCGCATGAACAGAGAGCAACAATACCCGAAGTCCAAAGGTGCAAACAATTCGATGTTTATTGGGGTGAACTTCCAGCAAGCATGATTCCAGTTTCCTTCTTTAGTGTCCCCCTTCCCAGCTCTGACACCACAGAGCCTTACCTGTGGCCCTGTTCCCATTCCTGCCCTTAGCAGGACATGATTCCAATTTCCCCACCCTCATTCCCTGTTCCCATTTTCCCCCCACCCCCCACCCACTTCCTGATTGACTGCAGACTATATAGTAAAACTTGAGTTCAGCTTAGATATACCTTAACCAATCATTTTACTGAAATTTAACTAACCAATCCTAACATATTGTAACATGATTATTTAACCAATTATATCCCACCACCTTAATTAGTTTACACCCAGCAAAATTAATTATACAGCAGACAGAAACAATCACAGAACCAGACAGAGATTATACAGACAAACAATAGGGAAATGGGGACTACAGTGATAGAACAACAAAGAAACGAGGAAAAAGAAAAGGAGTATTTGTGGCACCCTAGAGACTAACAAATTTATGTGAGCATAAGCTTTCATGAGCTACAGCTCACTTGAATCATGTTCTAATCATATTGTCAGATCATATTGTCAGTGACTGTAGCATCAACCAGGAGAACAAGGCTACATGTAGTTTAAATACGTCATTGACATATTAGCTATTGAACTAATATTGTAGCTGTTGACAATATGATTAGAACATGATTCCTACAACTGATGCAGATTTTATCCAAACTAATAAATATAAGAGAAAATGCAAGTCAAATGATAAAATATGGAAATTAAGTAATCACAGTACGGGTTTCTTTTCAGTCCATGAATACTTACCAAAAATGACTTCAGGCTCTAGCATTTGCTTTCAGACGCAAATGTTGCAGGATGAAATATGAATTTTTTGTGACAGAACTGTTCCTCAGAGCACCATGAAACTGTAAATGTAAACAACCTATTTTGAATGCATATTTCTTCTGACTCACTGTCTATTTACTTAAAAAAAAAAAAATTAAAGGAGGCACATGCTGTAAACTTGTGAACCTGTTAAAGGTTGAACTAGAATCTGAAACCAATCAGTTTTCTTTAACCAACATCATTGCTGTGATCAATGCAATGAGATTTATTTTGCATCATCTATGTTCTCTTTAGGAAAACACAATTTTTGCTCAAAACAGTCTTAGCATGGTGTTTAAATATTGATAAGAATTCCACATTTGCTCATGAGAGGCTGCAATCATATTCAGGGGCATAAGCACAGAGCTTTTTCTTATCTACTTAGTGTGCTGTTTTTTGTTACTTTGTTGAATTTTTAGGATATTATGAAAAGTCTTTAAAGGGAAACTGAGAATCATTCAGTATATTCAAGCACAAAGTACCTAGAAGCTTGAGGAACTGGATGGTTTTGATGAAGGGCAGTGGAATACAACTCTCACCTCAATTATTTAATATTTGTATCACTGTAATGCATAAGCGCCCCAGTCATGGACCAGGCCCCATGTGTGCTAGGTGCAGTACAAACGCAAAACAAACAAATGATCCCAGCTCCAAAAAGTTTACAATCTAAGATCTGTGATTTACATTTGAACCATAGTTTTTTGCATGGGGATACATTTTTCATTGCCTGGATTTTAGCCAGATAACTTAAAACAGCCTTGTGTGAGCAATGGAAAAACTATAGGAATATTTTCCTCTTTATTTTCAAGAATGTTATTGGGTGAAATGCAGCACTCATCATAAAGTATATATAATTGTAGTCGTTCTGAGCATGTTAACAGTTGGACTTGAGCTTGGAGGAGGAGATGAACTTTGAGCCATGTAATATCACAAGGTATAGTTGATCTCCATACAATTCATGTATGGGCAAGCTAACAATGAGCTACATTGTATTTAATGTACAAGGGGAAACTCCATTAATGGAGCTCATTAATATGAACAATTTATCGTAAATACAAGGAATGTTCCTATTCCTTAGCTATGGAACTCCATAGCTAATCTTTATATTATGCAAAATGGGTTTTATGTAAAAGAAACTATTTATAAGCTATGCAGAATTATTGATTGGTTTTACTGGTGGGCACATGGTCAGGTGGGTGCCGTACGACTGCCAGAAGTTGGTGGTCCTGGGCTGTCAACAGTTACGTCAGGGGTGAGTGTGGGCAAGCCCAGGACTGGAACACTGGCCAGCCGGGCGGGTGTGGGGGGAGGGCAATGCCGCCCAGAGCTGCCAGCCTGGCAGGGAGGTCCAGGCAGCAGGGCTTGCCCCGCGGAGACAGTGGGCCAGCCCCAAGGCCCCCCCATTCCCACGGGCACAGATGGTGGCTGCGCACCTTCTCTCCTGCTGGTAGGTGGTCAGAGGGCTCTATGTCCAGGGGAGCCCCCAGACTCTGAAACTCCTCCCTGTGCAGCCCAGCCAGGCTCCAGGCCAGGAGCTGGTCCTCGTGCCCTGTGTCCCACGCTGCTTTTCAAAAACTAAAAGAAAGGGTATCCAGGGTGCTGTTTTCCCTAAGGCCAGGCCGGGTTTTACCTTTTGTGGATTTGTGCCTAAGATCCATGCATTGGCAGAAGATTTTTTTAGGATATACTTTTTCTATTGGAAACTGTCAAGGAAGTGGCCCCAAGCCATTTTGAGTTAGATTAAATCATTTATGTTTGTAGATTATGTAGGTATTTACTGAGTTGTGTCAGTCAAGCAAGTCTGAGGCTGTCAGACGATAAAAGCTGTGTCTGACTATCCAGGGCACAAAAGCAATTCTGTGTTCATAGCTAACCTGGAGTCTAGTTAATTAATGAGGCAATAAGGTGGGGGAGAAAATACTATGTTTTGCATGCCTGTTGCACACAGTAGTCTCCTCATGGTGCTCTGCTCTTTCCGTGTGCTCTTCTTTTCCGATGATCCTTCTCTCACTCTTAGTTCTGGTCTTTTTTTCATTCCTCCCGCTAGTGCTTTGAACAGCTCCCCATTTCACGTACTCGATGGTGTTACCCTTCCTTCTTCAAATCCCCCCCTTAAAACGTTCTTATTCTGTGATGTTTTCTTCTATTGATGCACACCTGTACATACTTGCATTTGAACTATTCTGTGCATTGCAGTTATCTGACACTGTAGAAATTTCAGGACAGGGACCATGTCTTCTTTTTAATGTTTTAACATTTATGGCATGTCACTGATAACAGATCCAGCAATAAATAGTTGAAGAATCTCATTTGATTTTCTTTCGTCTTTGTTTTGTTGTAGGTTTATAGCTAAACCCTGTGCCTTAGGTCTTAAAGTCCAGGCCAATGGACCACAGAAAGCCCAACCTAATGCTATTCTGGAAAAAGTTTTCACTGCAATTACAAAGGTACAGTATTTACCTAACATGTTTGTTTTATAAAAGGTGATATGATGCTTTAACATTGATCCGCTTATAGTAAGATAATTTCAAGTCAAGCCAAAGAACTATTAAGATTTCACAGTTAAAAGCAGAAAATGCAAATGTAAAGATTCTATTACCCATGCTAGCTTTGCAACTTGGCCAAGCCCTTCTTGGCATACATGTTAGAACATGACAGTAACATACCAAGCTGCACATTTAACCTGGGAAACTGTAATAGAAAATACTTCATAGGTATCATGTGGCTGCTTATATTAACATTCATTTTTGTATTTTAATTTTTTTTGTGGCAGGAGGGCAGAGGGGGTTGGACAAAGAGGGGAAAATGTTAATCTTTATCAGTAATGTTAGCATGTCAATGTTCCAGATTTGGATTTGGGTTTCACACCTCTCAGGTGAATTGGGAAGGATGGGGTGCTATTGGTTGGCTGATGTCTATTAGTATTGTGATGGCTATTCTTCGCATCCGAAAAAGCTAGGAAAATAATTTTTAACAATGAATTTTTGGAAGTTGTGGAATTCTGAAGGATACAACAAAACGATAGGGAAGCCCTAAATTCATCTTTGCCCTTTGTACAGCTATTTTTTCTTGCCTTCAGATAAGGCCTGTGGGTTTCCATGTTTGTGGATTTTGTTGGTAAAATGTTTACAGATTATCCCAGCAGTTCCTGGCACTGTCTGCACCTCCTGATTAGGCTAGGCAGTGAGAATGCGGTGATGATCAGGTGTCGTTATCCTCATCTAAAGATCTTTGCATATGCCCACTTTGGACAGATATCACGAGAGGAAGCTTTCCTATGCTTTTAGTCATTCTTCCCATTTTACATTAACACCAACATGCAGCTGAACACAGCACTACATCTCAGCTGGCCTGTGGCTTTGCAGACGTCTTTCACAAAGAACAAAATCATGATTTCATACAGGCCATTTTGTCAGGGTTAAAGTTACCAGAGGGGGTGTTGAAGAGGATGAAATATGCCAGGAGAGCTCTAGGTGCTGGTCTCCTGCCTACGTGTCTTGCATCAGGGGAGCTGAGCTTCTTGGTTTGGTAGTCTACCCTTCTAATAAGCGTAGGTGCCATGCTCACCATTGCATTGGTTCATTTTGGCAGCATACTTGCAGAGGCTGGATCAGATACACCTGCCTGTCTGAAAGGCCCACTACATCTACTGTCTCTCGGATTCAGGGGGGAAGGGAAGGTGTCTTAGAATAATAGACTCAGAGATCCTGTAGAAAAATACAGGACTTCTGTGTTAAGATTTAGTCTAATTCCTGCTGAGTTAAGTTAGCTGGTGCGTAGAACTAGCTCCAGCGAGAATATAATGGAGAATGGGAAGCCCTCTTAGAGCTGCAAAGGAATGTAGATACTTACACTGTGGCAAGGAACTGGCTGATGAACCTCTGGCAGGTGCTGGAGCATCATTTTCATGCTCACTAGTCCAGTGGTTGTGGTGTGAACCACAAGTTGTGTGATGTCTGGCTTAGTGCCATGACTGTACAGAGCAGGGGGCTGATTTCCAGGCCCTCCCCCCATCCTGGTAGTGCTGTTTGGCCAGCCACACTTATAAACCACCGCCAGCAAGTTGGTCATTTTTGCTACATGCCAGATGCTACAGTCGTACCCAGGCAAAACTCTCATTGGCTACAGTGAATGCTGTGCCTGAATAAGCCCTATGGGTCTCGACTCCAAATTACTTTTTAAAAAAGGAAAACAAATCTCTGAACTGGTTAAAATTAAGCTTTAGAGAAAAAATACCCTTTTCTCCCTTGTTTCCTTCTCTGGGGACTCAGATAACAAATTTCAACCTGGTGGGGATTTTGTTTCAGGTTTATTAATCCATGGAATTTTAGGAGTTTATATAGTGGAAACTTTCACACAGTCTTAACTATAGCAGCACTTGCATTTCATCCACCATATCAAATTGGCTTATAGGAGCAAATCTTATCCCCAGGAAAACAGATGCACAGAGTGAATTCTCAGGATAATCTTTTTAAAATGTGATGGGGGATATTGGAATGTTCTTAGAGTGGAATATTGTACACAGAGCATCAACAGACAATTTGAAATGTATCCTCTTCCCCTGTTTCCCATGTAGTGAATTTCAATTTTCCCTTGCCTTATATGTACTACAGTATGCAGAGTAACTTCTGCTCCAATGTAGTAACAGTCAGTTTGCTGCTGTTGAAAATGACTACTTAAAGCTAATTTTACTGAGCACGTCTGTCTCAGTTGCTAAGGTGACTTCCTTTGAAGTTGCCACTTTAAAAATAGAAAGTGTAGTTTTTGAATATTAACGTACAGGAAAATGTATTTCTCTGTGTCAGTTGAACAGTCCCCTTGGTCACGTCAACAGTTACATCAGTTGCACATACACAGAGGGATGAAAGAGACAAGGCTCATGCTGTGAGGGGTTTTGCAGGTCCCATTGCTTAAGGAGTGTATATCATTTGATAGGCAGGGAGTGCTAGAGAGGAGGTTGCAGAAAAGGTTTCAGTTATAACTAGGCGTGGAAAGATTAGATTTTTCCTGGTAAATGTCAGAAAATGTTGATTTCACCAAACACACGCTCTGCTGAAGAAATATATTTCCATTGATACTAATCAAACGTAAGGAAAATGCTGCCTGAGGACCTAATAGAGTTTGATTTAAGGATATTTATTTTCTATATTCTAATGTGGTCTTGACAATTTGTATTTTTAACAATTATAAAACTTTTCGAATCTCAACATCTACTGTCATTAAATAATTGTCTGATCACTCCCTTGTCTGACTCACCTTTAATTTTGTGCAACTGTGAAAATTTAAAGAGATGAAAAATGGAAAAAAAACTTAAAAATAAATATTAATATTACTTATCAAACTGATATTTAGATTGAATTCTGCCAAGTCGATTTGAAACCTCCTGTTTTCCCCAATAACTTTTAAAACTTCTCTATGTAGCTGCATTGCCTTAGCCCCTTTTAGTAGAGTACTATATTTGATTATACATCCACCATCAGGTGTTTGTATGAAGACACTTTTCCTTACTTCCAGTTGTCAATGAGGCTGACAGAGAGCTAGGGTAGAGCCCGTAAATCCTAGTCGTACAGTAGGATTGAGTTCTTTCTGACCAGACTTGGGGGGGTGTGGGGTCTAAATTTAAAACAATATTATGATATGGGTTATGAAGCTAAAATGCATCTGCAGTCATTTGATCATTTTTTGTTCTGTAGCATCCAGATGAGAAGAGACTGGAAGGCCTCTCCAAGCAGCTGGACTGGGATGTACGCAGTATTCAGCGTTGGTTTCGACAAAGACGCAACCAGGAAAAGCCCAGCACTCTTACAAAGTTCTGTGAGAGCATGTAAGGAGCTGTGTTCTTTCTTGCATGTTTTACCGTGTGCTTCCTTTAAATGCCCCGGTTGCAATGTTTCAGTTCAAGGATAAATTAATTCCTTCATTTTGGGGAGAGAGAATCTTCTTTTCTCAAAGGAAATCAGATAGATAGGCACCTGAAGAGCACAGGAGCAAGAATAGACTGAAAGGATCCTTTAGAACAGAGGTGGGCAAACTACGGCCCGTGGGACCGTTCTGCCTGGTCCCGGGAGGCTCGCCCCTGGCCTGGGAGGCTCGCCCCGGCCTCTCCCCTGCTGTTCCCCCTCCCACACAGCCTCAGCTCGCTGCACCGCAGGTGCAACGCTCTGGGCAGCAGAGCTGTGAGCTCTGGGGGCCACGCAGCTGCAGAGCCCTGCCTGACCTGGAGCTCTGTGCTGCGCGGTGCGTGGCACGGCTGCCTGTCCTGGTGCAGCTGCGCTGCCAGCCACTGGCGCTCCAGGCAGCGCGGTGACTGGGCAGGGAGCAGGGGAGGGGGCGTTGGATAGGGAGCAGGAGAGTTCGGGGGTGTGGTAAGGAGCTGGGGGTGTGGATAGGGGTTGGGGCAGTCAGTGGGCGGGGAACAGGGGGATTGAATGTGGGCAGGCGTTCCGTGGGCGGTCAGGGAGAAGGGCTGGTTGGATGGGGCAGGGGTCCTGGGGGGGGGGCAGTCAGGAAGGAGAGGGGGGTTGGATGGGGCTGCGGGGGGCAGTTAGGGGTGGGAGGTCTGGGGACGGTCAGGGGATAGAGAGCGGGGTGGGTGATGGATAGGGCAGGGGTCCCGGGGGGGCCACCAGGGAACAGGGGGCTTGGATGGGGCAGGAGGCCCGGGGGGGCCATCAGGGGGTGAGAAGCAGGGGGGGGTCAGATGGGGGCAGGGGCCAGGCCACGCCTGGCTGTTTGGGGAGGCACAGCCTCCCCAACCAGCCCTCCATACAATTTCTGAAACCCGATGCGGCCCTCAGGCCAAAAAGTTTGCCTTCCCCTGCTTTAGAATCTTGTTGAAATAATGCATGTAGATTAACTGTGGGAAGTTTAGAGATACTAGAACACAGAAAGGGAAACGAGACTGATGATGCAAAGTTATGGGCATGGCAGGCTGGTTCTTTGGGGTGAAATCACTTGAAAAAATTATTTATAGCTATGAGATGAGATATTCATCTTTATATCACAGTTTTGAAGCAATATAATTTTGAAAGACGCTAGAGATGGGGAGGCGGACATAAAGACCTATTGGGTCATCTAGCCCATCCCTGTTATCGGTGCAGGATGGTTTCCTGTTCTGTCATTTTGTAGCACTTTTTCTGATCCAGATTTAATAACTCTGAGCAATTTAAGCCCCCACCACTTCCTTTGGGAGGTTATTCCGCAATGTACTTGAGTTTACTTTCAGGAAATCTTTCCTGATGCCTGTTCACTTTAAAACCAGATCTTCTGATATTGAACCTTTGCTAGATAGAACCCCATTGTTTTTAGAATCTAAATTACATTTCCATTCTGTATTAAGCATTTTAATGCTTAATCTGTACTGAAAGAGCCTTGAAAATTAAATCTACTTAAAATATTAGAGCAATTTTTTCTTAAAAGGAACTAAGTGATAGATCGTTACCTTATAATGAATGTGAAGGGAGAACATTATTCTGTTGCTTTCTTCTGATTCATTCCAAGAACCAGCCCAGCGGTACCAAGGTAACATGTTGCTCTATAGACATGGAAGATCACACGTTTGAGGCAAGATTTACTCCCTCTGGGTCGGGAGATGTGAGAAGCACTGTGGCAGCAGGAAAGAAATATTGGGCATACAATTTCCAGGACACCTTTTCTGGTCCACCAGTCAGATTATTGCTGGCTCAAGAATCCACTTGTGCATCCTGTTAGCCGGGGGAAAGCTGTTAGGTAGCAGATGTCAGCAGAAATAGAAAAACCTAGTCTGGAGTTGAGAATGAAATGTTAAAGAGGCTCCTGAGAATCCTTAGGTGATTTTAAAATACTGTGAATCAGTGTCAGCAGGGTTTTGCTTGTTCAGCAGACCTTACTGTTGCTGCATGTTTCTCTTCTGTATTTTATATTCTTTCTCTATTTAGGGTTTCCTCAACCCTGCTTTATCATACACTCCTCTGTAGGATGGGTCAGAATCTGGCTCTTAAAAATAATAGTTGATTCATCTGGACATTTATTCTGAAAACAAACACACGTGGTACACTAATAGCAGCCTTTTATTTATATTGAGACCAGGACTGAAGGAGGGGTGAAAGTCCGGAGGTGTTTCTGTTAAACAGATTGGCCAGCTAAGCTCAGAGCGCTGGAATGACTGGTCGTATAAAACACGACAAATTGTGCCAGTGTTAGGGAAAAAGGGTTCCCCTACAGTTCACATTCTTTCTATCCATAAACAAAGTAGAAAGGACAGATAAGCATAGAAAAAAGACAGCAGCGTAGCTTTACATGATTATAGGGTCGTTTTCTGGGTTTTTTCCCCTATCACCAGTGCAATTGCCTGTTAGATGAACAGAGGCCCTTAATCATCAGAGCTCTTAATGCGTTTCCTTCACATTTACAACTAAAATCCATTGTTTTAATATTTAATAATACCAGGGTAAGATTCTGGATCTTTTTGATGGCAGAAGCTGGTGATCTTAATCATTTTAATTTGCAGAAGAATCACATTTTGTTGTTGATGACTTCAGTTAATTTTCCCCCGGGATTGTAATTTGTATACTGTCCCCTTAGCACCTGGGAAAGGACAGGGATCTTAACAGCTTTCTAGACCTTTGCTACTGTTTGTACATTGTATTTTTGGTACTTTGATGTATGGTTCCATAACTTGGGTCAAATTTTACTCTTTTTTTGCACTGCTGGGCTTGAACCAGTGTAACTGGGAGTGGAATTTGGCTCTTCATTCCTCAAGTGGAAGGGAAGCACTGAAGAGTTTGCAGCTGAATTCAACACAGAAAGATACTTGTAGAGTACTCATTTTGGGGCAGGTTCATCATTGACTTACAGCTTATGCAGTTCCATTGATTTCACTGGGGGTAATTGGTGCTGAATTTGAGCTATGTTGGGCAAAAGGTGTCTGAAGCATGGACAATGCTGCTGGGGAAAAAAGTGCAGTAATGAGATAACGTCTTTTTGTGGGGAGAAGTGACTTAATTTTTTTTTTACAAGTTCTCAGTAAAAAGTGCAAAAATGAGACCATGATGTAATGTAACAGCAATACAGTTAATCTATTCCAACAAAATTAAGTGCCAGTTTCATTCAAGAGTCATTGGGCGAACTCATGCAATATAAATATTTAATAGCAATAATAATAATACATGCAGCTCAAAAAGGAGCAAGATGACATCTGTGGTAAATATTAACAGTTGAATAGAGGTTCAGCAGAGTACTGAGTATGGATCAATTTTTGTCTGCATGTGATTCCAAGTGGCTGTTGCCTGTGTTATCCGAGGGCAGAAATTGGCCACACATGTACAGGTAGTGTGAGGATATACTCTTCCAGCATTCAGAATGCCCAGGAATCTTTTACCATGCTAGCATTGTCAGTGATATCAGAAATGATGCAATATATAGCGTCAAATGGTAACCAGGCTGCAAAGTGGCATGTCCAGTTTTTGACCCATCTATTTAATAGGGATAGAGTTGTTGGACTTTCATTTGAATCGTGTGCCAAATCACTGTAGACTCTCCCTTCCCAATATCAGTCATTCATTTGTTGTCTGGTTCAATGCATATCCATCTACATTGGGGCACCTGGAGTATTACCCTAATTAGCAAATTTGGAGTAAAAAGTGGCCAATGATAATTATTTTAGGTATTGACAGGTAGATCGGTTGTGTCATCAATAAGCCGATCATTTACAAGTTGTGCGTGAGAGTTAGCATTGAGGTTTTGTGCAGTAAGTGTGAAGGGCATCCAATAGTGTTAACCTCAGTTTATGGGGAATTGCTGTACCGGCTAAGTAGGCTTGGGATCTTCTTCCATCCTGACTTTCTGGACTGCTGCTGTTCTCTGTTGTTCCTTTTCTCTCACTTGAAGGTCTGACCCAGCTTCCACTAAGAGCCTTCCAAATTACTTCCCTTGATTTCAACATGAATTGGATTAGACCAGGGGTGGGCAAACTGTGGCCCGCGGGCCGGATCCGGCCCCTCAGGGCTTTGGATCCGGCCCGCGGGACTGGCCCCCGTGGTGCCGCAGGCCCTGCACCACTCTCAGAAGCGGCTGGCACCACATTCCTGGGGCCCTGGGCGGGGGGGCAGAGGGCTCTTTGCGTTGCCCTTGCCTCCAGGCACCGCCCCCTACAGCTCCCATTGGCCAGGAACGGGGAACCGCGGCCAATGGGCGCTTCAGGGGAGGTACCTGGAGGTGTGGCAAGGGCAGCGCTCGGAGCCCTGTGTCCCTGCCCTCCCCTAGGGGCTGCGGAGGGATGTGGTGCCGGCTGCTTCCTGGAGTGGCACTGTGTGGGGCCAGGGCGGCAGGCAGGGAGCCTGCCCTGGCCCCGGTGCACACCACTGCCACTCTGGAGCCACTTTAGGCAAGCAGCGCCGGGCCGGACCCCGAACCCCTCCTGCACCCTGCCCCCCAACTCCCTGCCCTAAGCCTCCTGCCTGCACCTCGTACCCCTTCTGCACCCCTGCCCTGAGCCCCCTGCTGCACCCCAACCCCCTGCCCTGAGCCTCCTGCTGCACCCTGAGCCCCCTATCACACCCTGCACTCCTTCTGCACCCAACCCCCGCCCTGAGCTCCCTCCTGCACTCCGTACCCCCTCCCACACTCCACATTCCCTCCCACACCCCAATCCCGTGCCCTGGCCCTGCATACAATTTGCCCACCCCTGGATTAGACCCTCGTGCTCTGTTTTGTGTGTACGTGGTATACAAAGAAACCTGGAAGGGTCTGTGACAGACTAATCATTTCCTGCACTATTCTGAATGAACTTTACTGAATTAGGTTTAATATCTTTGCGGTCCATTGTATTAAAAAATGCAATTGTGT